GCACCTAGGGCCGCCGCCTGCGTGTGGTTTCCAAGGGAGGATTGGCTCTGGTTTGCTGGCGTGAGGCCGGTATGTGGTGGTGGAAGAAGATGGCTGGAGGCTGATAGGCTAACTTTGGATGTTGAGGGAGAACTCTCCATACGGGAGAGAGCGATGAGAACGGGTCAGGCTCAAAGAACTGCGCTCTTATAACACATACTTTTTCATTGTCAGATTGGTTGCTTTCATCAATATACTCAAAGACAGATCAAATTTATGAAAAACTCAACAAAAAGAGGTGCAAATGATATAACGAGATTTGACATATCATAGTCGAATTAATATAGTGTTGTTGTAATATAAAAAAAAATTAATTATTATACGGAACCGAAAACTGAATAGAACCGAACTGAATGGTTCCTTAATTAAATTTGGACCCGATGGTTTCATTTACTAAATGCTCAAAAAATTTGGCTTTGGTTTGGTTTTCATTAGACCGAATCGAACCAGACCATTTCCTGCCCTGCCCTACCCTAATTCCAGTATCTAATACTTCATCTAGGCCCTGTGTATTTCACATAAGAATTTGAGAATTTCAAGTTGCAAGTATTGGATTTATATCGGCTTTTAGACTGTTAGAATTGAATTTATATCCTTGCTTTTTCTTATTTAGATTTTGCCATTATCATTAACTTCTCTGACAACTAATGCTACAGATGGCCTTTGCCTTTCACAGTTGTACCAACGGCCCTCAGCACTGCAATGGATGTTAATCTGAGCAATGCATCACTTGTTTTCATCTCTGTTACATTCGCCACTATGGTCGGTCATCTTTCCCCGCGATCTTTTACCACAATAATCATTGTTTGATTAAGTTGCTTCAAGTTGGAACTGGACAATGGTGTCTAAGCATTGGATCTGGGTGGTCTTGATTCAACTTTCTTCACGTGTGTATCACATAGGGAAACGATAAATCTGCATGTCAAATACAAAAAAAATATGGAAGAATAAAGAGATGCCGACTGTATTGAAGAAGAGAATTAAACTTCTAGTCCAAATAGACTTAAGAGAGCTAAGAAATATAATGTTTTACTGAAAATTAAAAGCTGTTGGAGAGATGATGCAACAGTATTTATAGCAAGTCATACGACCTGTATGTGTCCTGGTGGCAAAAAGACAACCATATTCTAAATGAACCAAGTCTCGTGGACATGTCTTAATTCATAAGACAATAAAACTGTACAAATGGCTTGCAGATTAAGAAAAAAAAAGTACCTCTGCACATGCTGAATCACTTATAAAACCAAAGTAAACTGTATCTGTATGCTTGGCTTATTTTTTGATTTTCCTTTGCATATTAGGTTTATTCATATACTTACCACAATTAGAATTTAGTTCATAATCATCTCTCTATATTTCAAGTGGGTTGCAAGACTCTGGGTCCATTTAAGAGCTTATACAACGTTGTCGGTCTTAATCTTTAAGCAACTGATGGCGTATGTAGGGTATCTTTTCCCTTGTATGTATAAAATGTCTTTAGTAGCATATTATTTTTCTAAGCCATTATCTTGCAATTGCAGTGTAAATCAGCCGCACCAATATTTCTTCTTATTTTTGCGTTTGCATTCAGGTATTTCTCTATAAATTAACCTAATTGTTTTACTTTAGTAACTCCAAGTATATAGGTTTTGTTGGAACTCAAACATATCTTTTTAACTCAAACATATCTTTTTATCTTTCTTTACATACTGTTGTTTTGTCATGTGAAAGACCAAATTGTCATACATTATGTATATTCTTTTAAATTTGATAAAAAAATATTTGCGCTGTATCAAATTGATTTCTCGTTTCCATGTTATACTATTAATGTTCGTGTAGAAGTACAATCTCGATGGACTGGATTACACAATAACACAATATGGTAGTTGTTTAGTCAGTTCACTGGAATATTTCCAGAAGACTATGGTTCCTGAACCATGAGCTAATGAACAGAAAAGCTGGATATGAGTAAAAAGAACCAACAAGTCCTGCTACATATTATTACAAATACACCATGAACGTTGCTCTTGATTTATGCTTCTCATTAGATGTTTATTGTGTTGGGAGATAATTTTACATGATTTGAACTACACAAACAACGTAATGTTATAGATTAATAATTATATGCAAGAAAACTTGTCCATACCAATAATATCTAGGAAAAACTGAAACTTCTAATAGCGAGTATGCATCTTTATAACAAAGTTTGACTGGCCAGATCTTATAGTGGTCTGCATCAAAAGAAGCCAAGTATAACATAACTGATACGAAATTGTGATTCAAGGGAGAGGTTTAGTTAGACATGAATGTGCAAAATTAGGACTCAATATATACCTGAAATGGTAGGTATGGCATCTGCAGGATATTGGATAAGAAAAATTCCATATTATACGAAGATTTTTGAGTCTCTGGAAGTGCTGGGGGAGAAAGAGCGATGTATCATATATTTTGCTTTTAATGGTAAACAAAGACAAATGCTTGCAGTTTAAGAAATAGCTAAGACGAAGAGGGCTGAATTGTTGAATGAGATATAAGTTGGCAGGCTCCATAATTTATTTGAAGATGGTTGCAATGGTTTAGTTAAAATGGCTTCTTTGTCAACTTTTATAATTCCAAATTACTGTACTTTTTCTCCTACCCTTGCATATCTGACATGACAATTTTCTGGTAGTTGTACTATAGTTTTATTTTGGGGATATATACATTTCGTGCATCTTCTATTTTTTCCGAGTTAATATGGCTTTTAACCTAAAATACCTTTTATGAAGACTGGAGTCTCCAAGTGTTAAGCTGCTTGGTATCATGTTAGTCATCTCTGTTGGAATATTATTGACAGGTATGATACTCTATCATATATTGGGTTTTGTTGTTATATACAATTTAATTTAATGCTACTGATCATATAGCTATTATAGGGAATATTGGAGTTTTTATATGTATAATTGGAGAATTTCATGTTTTCTTTTGTTATTCAAAGTTTTATTAATATGGGGAATTTGTTGCGATTCCTCAATTTACCTTTATTGTTTACTGGGATGCATCTCACCATGTCAATTAGTAAAGGACGGCGATAAGTTTGACAAGTTCACAATCTTACTGTTGTTATTTCTCTATCCCCCCTGCTCCCTCTCTGTATAATTGCTCGACAGAACTATCAGAAGCCAGAGTTAAGATCTTGCAATAATTGCTTCTATGACATGATTCACATGTTTTCCATATACATGTGCAAATTCAGATTACGTTGGAATTCTTTTAATAAGTAGGAAGTTTATGAATTTTATCATTACATGCAATATTGGTATACCTAAACAGAAAAAGTAGCTTCTTTTTCTTCCATGGCCAACAGAAGTCATAACTTATTTTAATCATCAAGGCTTTACTATTCAAATGACTAAGGTAGTTGATTTCCTTGATCACTTATTTTCTGTTTTTACTTTTATATTTTTCTTCTGTCTTAATTGCGATGAATGTTTTTGATTGTGCAAAAAATTCTAAAATTATTTTCTTCCCGTTTCAGATGCTTTTTCAATAATATCTTTGCTTTACCTATGACCTGTTTTATCTATAATTCAGTTGCAAAGGAGACGGAATTTGAATTTTGGGGTTTTATCTTCGTTATGCTTGCTGCTGTTATGTCTGGTTTTCGCTGGACAATGACTCAGATCCTTCTTCAGGTAAGACCAGTTGCTCGTATATGTAGTTCTGGTTTTTGAACTTGTTTTGCTCTTACTATTATTTTAGATTCTCATGGTACGCGTGCTCACAATAATTTTTGTGGTCTTTATCCTTTTGTTCATCAATTGATTTGTGCCGATCTCTAAACCGGACTGAAGAAAGAAGTATATGGTAAGCACCAGTGGTATCCCCTCTTTTTAACCTAAAAAGTATACTAAATGATACAGCTATTAAATAGTTTGTATTTGCATATATATATGTCAGCATAAGCTTATTTGCTTAACAAAGTTCAGTTCTAATATTATTTAATTCAGTAATAATTTCTTATCCAATTCTGGTTTTTCTAGTTTTCACCTCAAATCTATCTTAAAACTTAGCCCCTGTTTGTCTTCTATTAAAATGAGTTTTGGAATAGCGATTTTGTAGAGAATGTGTGGTTAATAACTAGAAAAAAGTTTTGAGTTTACGTGCAAAATATTTTATTGTGTGAATGTGTTATTGAAAATAAGTTTGAGAAAAAAGGAGTTTTGATTTAATGGAAGACAAACAGGGGCCTCTTCTCATCTCAACCACACTTAAATTTGTTAAATAGCCATAAATTTAATTTCCCATGGTATTGCTGTTTTTTTTTTTAATTATTATTTTATATTTTATGGACTTTATTCTGGCAAAATCCTTAGATCAAGCAATAACTTAGGAACATGCCCCTTAATTCAACTAGCTTTAATGCTGAGCTACATTATCTCAAATTTCGCCTCCCCCCACGAAGTATTATGCCTATGTATCAATTTTTTTCGCACATGGGTATTTTATGATCTCTGGTGTTTACTGCTTCTCAGCGTGTACTTGTACCTTTACTAGAATTATACTCCACGCATTTAGACCATGTTTGGCTATGCTTAAAATCCAATTAAAATTGAAAATATAGCCGTTATTAGTTCCCACTCGTCTAATAAAAGTCAACAATAACGGCTAATTTTTCAATTTTAATCCGATTTTAATCTCTATCTAACACGCCCTTAATCTTACTCTGACCAACTTTTTCCCTTTTATTCGTAGATGTCCCTGCTTAGCTCTGATATAGAAATGATTCCTCAAATGTCCTTAGTGAATCTATTTATAATTAAAGCAAATGGACACTGACTTAAAGCTGGATATTGATGCAACCTTACAGTAGGCAGATACTTGGTTTTCTGGCATTTGTCCTCACTGCGGTCATGGCACCTTGTATATGGTTTTTTTGTTTTTTGTTTTTTTGTGAGATCAACATATACTTACATATTAACTTTAGACCTGTAAGTAAATATCAAAATGTTATGTCACCTTTTAAATACGTTCATAAAAATTAAGAGGAATATCAGCAAATGCTTTCTTTTGGAAGACGGATTATTAATTTGTGTTTATGTATGTTTTCACTCAGGGGGTTAATCACAATATACAATTATTTAGTGTTTTAGTAATAGCGAATGGGGTAGTGGGCTATTTCTAAAGTGGATCAGTCAAAATCATTAATGTTTTGTGGGTCCACTCCTAAAGCAAAGTTATTAAAGTCTGGAGAATTAAGGTCTACGCATTCCTCACAAGCCTTAAGGTATGTGCCTCACTTAACTTAGATGCGTGCCTCCCAAAACTCCCTCACAAGCAGTGTCTTGAAGCGTTTTTTGTTCGCTCACTATGAGTCACGCCTGAATCGGGATATTTTAAACAGTGCCTATATTGCTATGTTGCCTTGATTTGATGTGGTTATATGTGGACTAAAGAACTTAATTAAGAGTTTATATTACAGAACCTGTATTTTATCTATTGGACCTCATTGGCGGTGATGCTTGATTGTATCTGACCTACTTGTACATGTCATTATTTAATGACATGATTATCTTTTTTTTTTCAGGTCTCAAAAATCCACTCACTTTAATGAGCTATGTGACCCCAATAATGGCGATTTCAACTGCTCTACTTTCTCTTATATTGGATCCATGGCATGAATTCAGAACGAGTGATTATTTTGACAGCTCATGGCATATTACAAGAAGTTGTTTTCTGATGTTGTTTGGTGGAACTTTGGCTTTCTTCATGGTAGGAGTCTAGATTCTCAGGTTTTTAATTCAGTTTTATATGATGTAGTTCCATTTTATATGGAAATAAAAGAATGGGATATTGCAATAAACTGTCAGATGTTCCAAAATTTCAAAGCATTTTCCACTTTCCAGTTCTCTATGTTCAATGTATTTTTCTTCTTTAAAAAGCGCATCTGATGGGGAATAAATAAATACTTTATCCCTCTAAATTAACTCTATTTTTTCCCCTTTCTCTTATTGCAGGTATTAACAGAATACATTCTGGTATCAGTAACTAGTGCAGTAACAGTAACAATAGCAGGGGTTGTCAAGGAGGCTGTCACCATCTTGGTATAATAACAATTCTTTTAGCTTACTTTTTCCCTGAATTTTATAAATCTACCATATTGTGCTGATAACTGCTAGTTCAAGACTTTGTTCTTACCTTCTATGTATTAAATTTCACGTCTGTTTTGCTTGTAGATAACACTGATTGTATATTTGCCGAGTATTTGCCTATTTACAAAAGTTCTCTTGATGGATTTTATTAGATAATTGATATTCGCCCCATCTTTTTTTTCCAGTCCATGTTTTATTGAATCAGTTGTAGACTTGCAGTTAATATGTCTTTTTAACTTCTCACTATGTTCACAATTGAATGATTACCTCACTTTTAAAATGGTCATAGAAATGACCTCCTTCCAGAAATAGTATTTTCTGTCCAAAGAAATTATTATTCATTAGTTTTCTGAGTAAAGAAGACAAGTTACATCAAATTTCAAATGAAGTTTGAAACATGAGACTGATGAGAAACATTAGTTTTATGTAACTTCTAGAACTACTCAGTCGATCTCCTTCCTTTCAAAATTTAAAACAAGACTGATGAGAAACCTAGCATTTGTTTCACAAATTTTCGGCTACTTTCTGTAATTGATCGTTCATTTAAAGTCTTCTGTTTCTAGTATTTTCATTTTAAAAATAATTATTGAACATCTACATTTTAAGTCTTCTGTTGCTAGCGTTATTTTTAATTTTAAACTAATTATTGAACCTGTGCAATACCATGTCAGGTTGCCGTTTTCTATTTCCACGACGAGTTCACCTGGTTGAAAGGGGTTGGTCTTGTGACGATAATGGTTGGTGTCAGTTTATTTAACTGGTACAAGTAAGTAATTGTATTCTCTTTAAAAAAAAGAGAAAAGAGAAGAAAGTAATCGAATTCCATGGTTTTGTAGCAAACTCACTTATTTGGCAGTTCCTTCCTCATATTCTTCTTGATTAAAATATCATCATCAACATCCATTTTTGTGTTCTTATGTTACAAATTCTTCAAATAATCTGAAATGTACTCAGACANAATTCTTCAAATAATCTGAAATGTACTCAGACAAGTAGCTTATGATTAATTAATGATATTAACATGTTACAGTGGATTTTATGATTCTGTCTGTTTTTTTTATTCCCATAATTGAAAGAACAGCCATCTTAATTTCTTTACTTATTCCCTTAAATGATTTCAGGTGTACTACAAGATTTTGTGAATATCTATGTAACATTTGCAATTTTGATTTTGGTATACTTTTCAGTATTGATGATTGTGACCATTATAATGTCCGATAGTGGTAAAACAATATTGTCACACTACTTCTATGACCTGGATTTTCATGAAAGAACTGACATTGGATTGTTCTTCACCAATCTTTATGTTCCTGAGGATTGTTAGAGCTCTTGGAATTCCGCCTTGACCAGAATGACCAATGATAATCACACACTGATCACTTTCTGTAAACACAAACTGTTCACGTTACAAAATTTACTGAAATGTTGCTCTGTATTTCCTTAATGAGTCAACCCATGCAAGTATTGACAGGGCTATCTGAACCTTGTTTTGATACAAGATATACTCAAATTTGCGGCTATTTACAAAGTTGAATTTCCTCAATGAGGAGAGAGTTGCTTTTATTAGTTAAGCCATAAAAAATATGGACAGGAACAGCTGAACCTTGTTATTATGTGAATGCTGACTCTCCAAGACAGTAAATTGGAAAAGAGAAATAAGATCATGCTATGGTGACTTGGAACTGTTTTAGAATTCAGTACCTATGTTTCTTTGAGAACTTCGCCAAATGCTTAGAAGTTCCAATAGATTTTATTGGAATCATTTGCAACTTTGATATTGGTATATGAAGAAGAAATATTCGACCCCTTCAGTTTTTCTTTCCCCTCGGTAGATCCAAAATCTGACCTTTCTATTGGCAATTTGTTGAAGACTGGAGCATGGTACCCTTTTATACATATTTATCTGAATTTTTCTACTCTAGAAGTATGTTTTCTGCAATAAATCTCATCTTAAAAATTTCAGTGCCATTTGTCACACCTTGTTATCAGGTAACAGAAGTTGGAACACACTTATTCATTATTATTCGTTACAGGTACCAGAAGTTGCAGAAGGGCGAGGTAAGTGCAGATGGAATGGGAGGTTCAACAACAGATAATTCACCGTCAAAGTATGTTATTCTCGATGAGATGGACGAGGAAGAAGATATCCCGTAAAGCTCAGTATTTGCGTAATTTGAATCTATAAACTTGAGTAAGCTTCTGATCAATTGCTCAAACCATTATTGTCATTGTCATTCATGAAGGCAATCTGTTATTTTATTTTCGTTTAGAATACTTGCGTTATGATTTTTCTGTTTTATGAGCGTGTTTTTTCTATTATTTGAGCAAAGTAAAATAGAATATAGAACATTCCCAATTCTTCTATTAGTGCTACAAGATCTTTACTTAGTAGTGATATTTTAAGAAGCTTAATTATTGTATATACTTTGTGACGAGTTCTTTTGTTTTATCAATGATCAAATTACCATGCTCGATCTCTTCTTGAAACGTAGCACTCATGTTTTTTTAGTCTTCTATCAGGTCGATGCTGCAAGAAGGAATGTTTTGTCAGGAAATTGGAATTGGCAAATTTGTTGACATCAATATTTTTCGACAAAATTTTAGCCCTCTGTAAACAAATTTTCTCTATGTTTCAGTTAAGATTGTATATCTATGTTTTGCGCAACTTTTGTTCCTCTTGTATCTAAATTTTGTCATTGTATTCTGATTCTTGATAACAGTTTCAGATTGAGTGAATATTTGTTATTCTGGTTTAGTTGCAATACACCATAATCAGGCTGTAAAGTTCCAATTCTTGATATTTGTAGAAGAAAATGTCAGTTTTTCATATAGATTAATTTGTTTAGATTTAGAACTGTTGTGTAGGGTTGGACAAAACTCTTGACCGGACCCGACTCGAACCCAACCGAACGGTTCTTTTTAAATTAAATACCCGAATTGGTATTTGAATCGAGAACCGACTAGTTTGATTTGGTTCTGTTCGATTCTCGATTCTAAACCAAAAATCGAATAAGAATCGAATCTCCCTATTTTTTGTTTATTTTTAATCTTAAATAAGTCAATTTTTTTTTTTTAAAAAAAAAAATTTTGCTAACTAATTAATTTAGTGCGAACTCAAAATATGATTTTGCTATTTCTAATTTGCAGCCAAGTCCGATTTAATTAAATTGATTTAAGTTTTACCTAAATTTCTTATTCTACCATAGTGTCGTTCTATTATTGTGAATTCTTCTTTTTTTCTGTGATTTTAACAGTTAAATATATGAAGAACTCAACAAAGAGAGGTGCAAAAAATATAACGAGATTGAATTATGTTATTTTTGTAAGAGTTAAAATTGAATATGCCATAGTTGAATTAATATAGCATTGTTGTAAAAAATAAAAATAAAAAAATTATTATAAGAAACTAAGAACCGAATGGAATTGAACTCGAACAGTTCCATAATCAAATTTAGGTCCAACGGATTTCATTTACTAAATACTCGAAAATTTGGAACTCTACTCGAAAATGAAGATTGAAAATGAGTAACTCGAATGGAACTCTACTCAAAATGGAGTTACGCAATGCATTTAACCCCAATATGTACAATGGAGAACAGAATTTTGTTCTCTTTCACTCAGCTCTATCACACAGACACACACTTGGCTCTTAGCTCAATCATTGTCTGCAGCACTTCTCAGGATTTTTTTTTTTTTCCCAAAAATGCCTGTGGTTTGTGAAAATTATCTCTTTACTATCTTTATTATTGAAAGACAGTGGAGGTATTAGTTCTAATACTATAGGATTCCCTCGGCTTGTCTGGGCTGATAATGGAAATAATCCATTCAGGATCAATGCAACCTTGAAACTCACATCAGGTTGTAATTAAAAAATGTCGGGGTATCTTGGCAGTTGGCATGGTCTATGAATACTGCGGGAATGCCTGTTGTAGGCCATATTACAGAAAGTGAGAACCTTGTTCTCTATGATTAAACAACCCAGATGTTTCGCGATCTTTTGATCATCCAACTTGACACTTTGGTTCCTGGTAGAAATTAGAATCAGGACAAAAGATGTTAGCTAGTGTTTCAAGAAAGTTGAAGTTGATAGCATTGGCAAGCATCGTATTCTGGAAATCATGTGGGAGGAAAAATTTTAGGAATTTCAACCGGAAGATGGAAGGCATTTGCTGCTGAGTCATTTCAATAAAAAAGCAGCAGGACAATGGCTGGATGTACTTGACAAGTGCAGTGAAGATATGCAGTCTCATGGAGCTGAAGTTTTTATGCAGGTGGCGGCTGGTGTTGAGGGTTCTAAAGAAGTTGAAAACACCAGGATTATGATTTCATAAATCCGAAGAATTTGACGAAAAAAAAAAAAAAGATGAGTAATCATTTGGAAGAATTTGAAGTTCAGTGACAAAGTTGGTAGTCAACTTATGTGACCACTGAAGGAAGGGGCAACAGTGGTATGTGGGAAGGAGAAGATAAATTTTGAAGGAATTGTTTTATTAACTTACAATAATATTTTGGTGTTTGAAAGGGTCTTTACAAACTACAAAATTTTAAGAATTAATTCCTTTTCAATTTGACCAGTGAAAAAACCTTTTCCAAAAAAATTGCATCACCAGTTTTGTCACTTTGTTTTGATCACCATCATGTTACATGTATGTCGTTGAAATCAAAGTAAAATTCTTTAATTTTCTTCATCTTACACAGCAAGTTTCTAATTAAAACTTCCCTATTTTCTCTCATCCTCTCTTTCACACGCACACACACAGATATGGAGATATTGCAGAACTTAGTTGCAGTATGTTGCGCAGTTATTTTCTTGATTTATGCATGGAAAATCTCGAACTGGGTTTGGTTTAGGCCAAAGAAGCTTGAGAGATGCCTCAGACAGCAGGGTTTCGATGGAAACTCGTATAAATTGTTGTTTGGAGACTTCAAAGAGATGATGATGATGACAAATGAAGCTAGGTCGAAGCCCATCGATTTCTCTAACGATATTATGCCCAGAGTAATGCCTTTCATCCACAAAGCTGTCCAAAACTATGGTATGATTGAAAAATAAATCCTAATTTAGCTAAATTGTTGTATAAATTACAGTATTTATAATGAAATCAGTTACTCTGAAATCAAGATTTTAATAGTTGTATTTGTACATGTAACTTCAAAATTAAAGTTCTGTTTCTACTGCTTATAATTTGTAATTACGCTGTGTAATAAGTTTCATGGATATTTGTGTATATATGTATATTGTTAAATTTACTTGAAAAAGGAAAAAGAATCCTATTCTTAAAATTGTAATTTTGATGATTATAGTTGAGTCATGAATCACAGAATCAAGTCATGTTTGTATTTTATGGGGTAATGCCTAATTGTCTGTAGTATAGTAGAAGGCACCGTGCTTCATTTTTTTCCCTTTTTAAATTTTTGGGAAGGGGTTGGTCGAGATGGGGTTCGTGTTTTGATTTCTTGTAGAATCTAAGATTTGTGTATATCACATTGAGGTCTGTAACTTGCAGGTGAGAATTCCTTTTTCTGGTTTGGGCCAAGACCTGCGGCGCTTATCACGAACCCGGTAATTATAAGAGAGGTTTTGTCGAAAAGTTATATTTTTCAAAAGCCGCCTTCTCATCCGATAGCTAAAATGCTGGCACAAGGTCTAGCTACCTATGAAACAGATAAATGGGCTAAGCATCGAAGACTAATCAATCCCGCTTTTCACCTTGAGAAGCTAAAGGTAACTCTAAAGTTCATTGCTTGTGATCTTTGTGCCAAATCCCATCTTCTCAGTACACTGATTGGATGTACATTTTTCTATTGTGTCGTACAGCATATGATACCGTCATTTTACTTGAGTTGCTGCGAGATGTTGAGCAAATGGGAGAAGATTGTACCTAGTGAAAGATCAAGTGAATTAGACGTGTGGCCTTATCTTCAAACTTTGACAAGCGATGCAATTTCACGTACTGCATTTGGCAGTAACTACGAAGAAGGAAGAAAGATATTTGAACTACAAACAGAACAAGCAGACCTTATGACACAAGCAAGAAATTCTTTTATAATCCCGGGTTGGAGGTTCAACTACTTTTTTCTTTGTCAATTTCTTCTGTTTGTAATTCATAATACAATATGAGAGTTGAGGAACATATTTGTACTGTACGCATAGGTTTTTGCCGACTAAAAGCAATAGAAGAATGAAGGAAATTGCAAAGGAAGTGGAATCATCTGTACTTGGCATAATTAGGAAAAGAATAAAGGCAATGGAGGCGGGTGGAGCTAGTTCTGATGATTTATTAGGTAAACTGTTAGAATCGAATTTCAGGGAAATCCATGAAAATGGGAGCAAGCATGGGATGACTTTGAGGGAGGTCATTGAAGAGTGCAAACTTTTCTACTTTGCTGGGCAGGAGACAACGTCGTCCTTGCTGGTTTGGACGATGATTTTATTGAGTAAGCATATGGATTGGCAAGTCCGTGCTAGAGAAGAGATCTTACAAGTTTTCGGAAAAGGGAAACCAAATTTTGATGAGTTAACTCGCCTGAAAATAGTGAGTAATGCTCATTTGTTTACTTTTTATATCTCTACTATTTCTGAAGTTCTATATTATGTATCTGTTTCGTTATATTTCATAGGTAACAATGATTTTTCACGAGGTTCTTAGATTATACCCGCCTGCGATAATGCTCACTCGAATAACTCACAAGGCAGCCACATTTGAACACACGTTCCTTCCTGCCGGAGTGCAGCTCTTACTGCCAGCAATTTCATTGCACCATGACTACAAAATATGGGGCGATGATGCGAAGGAATTCAACCCAGAGAGGTTCAATGAAGGAGTTTTAAATGCAACCAAGGATCAGTTCTCGTATTTCCCCTTTGGTTGGGGACCTCGTATATGCATTGGCCAGAATTTCGCAATGTTAGAAGCAAAGATGGCACTCGCTATGATTTTACAGAATTATTCTTTTGAACTTTCTCCATCTTACGCTCATGCTCCTTACGCAGCCATAACACTTCGACCTCAGCATGGCGCACAGTTAATCCTCCATAAACTATAGGCATCCGAATTTTGGTTTTTATGTACGGTTCTTACATATATGTTACTTACGATTGTTGCATTTAAATTTGCATCGAATGAAAAATATTTAGCAGTTGTTATAATATGATGGGACATCTCTTAGATTCAAGGTTTGCCGTTATGTATTTATGAAAATTGTACAAATATAAGACATTGAAAACATAATTAGATTATTATAGAACTGTAGCTTCTAACAGGACAAAGTTGGCAGCAAGGTAAGCCTTGTCTTTTTCTTTCAAAATTTAATGGGTTGGTCCATTGCCTAGTTCTAGGGTTGAGGACGTCGTAACCGAGACCATGTGTGGCTAGGGCAACAGGTGGGTCGAATCTATAGGCTTGAGTCACGTATGATGCATACGGCCTGCCTTACTCGTCATCCCTATAGCATAGACTAAAGATTGTTGTCAAAATGGTATGCTAGCCAGAACATGCTTGCCTCGCTCAGTTAAAATAAATTAGCCCAAGAATTAACCTGAGCCACCTTGGTTGGTTTGGGAGGTGGTTGGAATTGGGTTCTGTTAGCTGCAATGAGGGCTGAGGTGAGATTCACTCGTTTTTCTCTCGTTTATAATTTTTTATTCATATTGACGACAAATGACTAACGCGTTATCGTTTAATTGAGTATACGATGGAAACCATATAAAGGGACTAAATTTCTCAAACATGTTAAAGGTCGAACACCATTACAGTTAGTTTTGTACGTTAAGGATGAATTAGTAGAGGTTGCTACAAGTTAGAGACTTAAATGTGCAATTTTTGCTATTATAAATTTATGAACGTCATTGCTTATGTCCTTCTATCTCGTACGTCACCAATTACGTAAAAGTTAACATGTGTCACATTTCATGCATGCAATTTTTTTTCAAAGCATTTTATAAATTGGTACTTCTTCTAGAAGTAAACTGCAAGTAGTAATTTATTTATTAGAATCTATATATTTTTTTTATTACAAATACATATGTATGTTGTACTCTATCAAAAAAGTCTTAGCAAAATCTAAAAGTTAGTTGTTTTTTTCCTTCATAGAAATCAAGAACGACGAATCTTAAGAACTTAGCATAGAAAGCATCAAACTACTAAGATGTGTAACAATCGCAAAAAGCATGCTATTTTTGTGTAGTAACGTGTTTCTTCCTTAATTGTATTTTAAAAATTTGTTTTGTAAAAAGAATGATGTGTATTGTTGTGTTTTATGAATATACACGTCTGTTATATGTTAGTTTTTATGTGCAGATTAGTATATCTACTAAACGAAATGACCCGATTAAGTCAAATTAGAGACGAGCGATCAGAGATCTATAAACAGATTGAAAATGAGTAACTCGAATGGAACTCTACTCAAAATGGAGTGACGCGCAATGTATTTAACCCCAATATGTACAATGGAGCACAGAATTTTGTTCTCTTTCACTCAGCTCTATGATACACTTGGCTCTTAGCTCAATCATTGTCTGCAGCACTTCTCAGAGGAAACTTTTTTTTTCCAAAAATGCCCGTGGTTTGTGAAAATTATCTATTTACTATCTTTATTATTGAAAGACAATGGAGGTAGTAGTTCTAATGCTATAGGATTCCCTCAGGTTGTCTGGGCTGATAAAGGAAATAATCCATTCAGGATCAATGCAACCTTGAAACTCACATCCGGTTGTAATTAAAAAATGTTGAGGTACCTTGGCATGGTCTATGAATACTGCGGGAATGTCTGTTGTAGGCTATATTACAGAAAGTGAGAACCTTGTTCTCTATGATTAAACAACTCAGATGTTTCGCAATCTTTTGATCATCCGACTTGACACTTTGGTTCCTGGAAGAAATTAGAATCAGGACAAAAGATGTTAGCTAGTGTTTCAAGAAAGTTGAAGTTGATAGCATTGGCAAGCATCGTATTCTGGAAATTATGTGGGAGGAAAAATTTTAGGAATTTCAACTGGAAGATGGAAGGCATTTGCTGCTGAGTCATTTCAATAAAAAAGCAGCAGGACAATGGCTGGATGTAGTTGACAAGTACAGTGAAGATATGCAGTCTCATGTGTCAAATATACACAATAATATTCAATAAGACTCGATGTCCCTCTATGTGAGAGATTCTCTTATTAGATAGAACTAAAATCATAACTAAATATGATAAAAACAATCTATCTATATATGGTAACAATAATAATGTTAATATAATCATAATTTTCGACGATTTCCGTAATCTTATTCAATCTCATTAATCCCTTTTCAAATTGATGTTGGTAAAAGCATCAATTTGCAATCATGAA